TGATGTTCTGTCAGCTTTGGGCTTGCGTTTCTGTAACGCAACTAAAGCTGCAAATACGACTACCGACGGCCGGTTTTTAACGGCAACCAAATTGATGTCACCATTACAAACTTTCAGGGAAAACTTGGTGTTTAATAAGGAACTGAACGACGAGGGAGAGGGAGCCGGCATGCAACCAATCAGTCTCCCGGGACTCTTACGTAGCTGTAAAACGGTAGTTCACAATGATGCCTTTTGACTGTTTTTGTATAATTTCATTTTACTGGTAATCAACAGTTGCGATTGGAAACCTCTGGTTGATTGAGTGATTGATTGATTGAGGTACGTTGAGTGTTAGTTGGTTTAAAATATGCTCATGACACTTACGTCCGTATACAGTTGTTTTGGTGCCGAACTATTCACGTAAACAATATGGCACAAGAAATTCCGTCAAATTATTATATCTCTGCGTCTTGCCAATAGGAAAGCAAAAACTGTGAGAATAAATGCGGATTACTTCGCAAGGTTATGGAAAGCGATCAAGTCCTTTACAGTTAATCCGCGGAAGGTATGCAAACCGCACTGCTCACTCATGGTAGATAAACGACTGGCATGAAAGCATACATACCATAGATACCCGGAAAATTGCAGAATTTATGTCAATTAACAACAAAGGTAAATACCGGTACACCGAAATGCATTCACCGTGGCCTGTCAGAAAATAGTCCAGGGGGTCGATCGAACAATGGCGCAGTACGATTTTGTGGTGATCCAAATCATCTAGATAACACCAGTCCATAGGCTGTGTTACAGTTTCAGGATAAAGAATCTGAGGCCAGACTTTGAGCCAATCAACAGCCATGCGGCTCAACCAGAAGTCCTGTGACAAAAATAAAACGAACGGTGATTGGTTAACGCTTGTTTAGCTAATGATATTATTTGGTCCCAATGATTTTCTTCCATAAACTAACCGCTATTTCTTCCTGCTTTTCGGTGTCGGTAAATTTTGTCAAACAATCACCAGTGCACCATCCTGTGATTTGATTGAGAATTTGATTTTGATTCTGTTGAATTCTGTTGATTGATCAATACATTCGAAGCCAGCTACTCGTCTTCCACCTGCGTCTCGGTTTGGGACAGTCCCGGTAGCTGATTATGTGCGTGTAACACGGACTATTGATGCGTGAATAATTCAATTACTACAAAGGCACATCAAGGTGGAAACAGCTTCATAGTGTTTTGTAGCATTTTACTTCATGTTTCCTGTGACCCCGTTCCTCATATGGGTTTTGGAGTTTTGCACAAAGCAAACCAGTAAATTAAATGTATCCAATAGGGCTAGAAAAGTTCCATCATGCTACTTCATTTGATGAATTTGTGCGATCACCAATTAACAGTTGGTTGGTCAGTGAGCTTGCCTTCCGTCTGAAAGGTCCCGAGGTTCGATCCTAGATTGTTTGGCTGGATAGACTAATAGTTTTATGGAGATCACAGATTAATTTTAACTACAGGATTTTTGTATGCTTCTTAAAATGAATAGTTTGACGAGTGTTGTTCTTACTAATTTGAGTAAAATCGAACGTTTTTCGTTAGTTTACAAACTGCTCGCAAGGTGAACCACCTTGCATTTGAGCTGTTCTCGATGCTATTCGTCATCTTGAGACTCTGATAACTTTCCGAAAAGTTTAGTTGAAAAGTCGGTTGAC